GTCCTCGTCGTCAAACATTAGGCTCGCTTGGTCTGCTCTTCGTCCATAAAGCGCCTACGCACCTTGTCGACATTTGACTGCATGTGGAGCCACAAATTTCACGCATGTCGGTCGCGCAAGATCTCCAACCCAAGGTACTTCTCAAGTGGGCTGATCTCGCGCAACTCAAAGGCAGTCTCCAGTAGCTCATGCAACTCGTTCAGCATCGCTAGGTTGCTGCTACGGGCGAGAAGGTCGTCATTATAGATGAGCACCCAGCATGCCACTTCGTTGTTGCCGACCTTGAAATAAAGAGCCTCGTCGACCTGGCCCTTGTTCCGGCCGACGCCGGCTAGCACAACATCGAGCACCGGGTACCACAGCAGGGGCGACCGCTTGAAGTCGTAAAAGCTCTTCAGCAGCTTGCACACGCGACTAGTCTCGTCGTTGTAGTAACCGCAGTTGGCTTCCCGGTCATTGTCTGACTTGTCGTAGTCGGGGTAGTCGTACGAGAGATGGTTGCGAGCATCGCAGATGTAGCATCGACGTCCTTCTCGACGCGAGCCACTGTCACTACGATCCCTTTCCTTAGCTGACTTCCCACGTTCAGTGCTTTCCGCCGACTTCATGTTCGACGACGTCCCGCCACCGCCTCCACCCGACTTCCCACATTGCCCATCTTGACGTCCCTCTTGTGTGTGTTTTTTGTGAGAATAGTGAGCACAGTGAGGAGCCATAACTAGGGTTTAGCTAGCTAGGCAAGAGAGAAATGAACAAAGGAGGAGTTTCACTAGCAGCAGTTGGGATACATATAGCAAACCCTAACAGGGTTGTACTCGCTATAGAGCACCCCACTACAGGCTAGATAATAACATTCTGACATTTTTTTTTATTTTTTCGGCAATGCAAGATACACTATAGCAGTGCATACAAGCATTAACAGTTGTAACTGTAGCCGATGGGCCTAGATAGCAACCAGCCATCATACCCATCCTGACACCCTATGGGGGACGGAAAATTGTGCGCGGGTTAGCCCAGATGGAGGTGAAACCACTGGTCCACGCAAGCGATTTAGCCGAGCTATCACAAATCCTGCTCAGAAGTCAAAACTCATCCGGATCCAACTGCTCTAAGAAAGGACGCTGCCCTGGCCCAAGCATAAAACCTGCCTGCTTGTTTCCTGTCTTGACCCGAAGATGAAGCCTCGCATGAGTGTAGAAGGCTGCCGCAATCTTACGCAACACCCTTCTGGACCGGAACTGACCCCTCTCAAAAGCAGCATCACACCTCTCCACCCAGATCTTGTGCAACGCGATAGTGGTGAGTGTTGACTCTGGGAAGCCCGACCCCGAGCCCTCTTTTTGATAAAGAAGATCTCCCAACGACTTGAACGTTGTTGGGGAGATCTTGTGGCAATGCAGCTTGAGCATAACATCCGTTGTAGTCTAGTCGGTTAGGATACTCGGCTCTCACAAATCTTGCCGTCCCTGCTTTGACGGGGCGACGTAGTTGGCTTGCAATAGAAGCTCCGTGGGTAACTCGGACTCTTGCATAAATTCATCGTAACTGATGAAGCTGGCCAAGCAATCCGTGTTGAGCTGCGAGTGCATGCCGGGCAGTGACATCATCCGGCACATCAGATTGTAGCCCGACGACAGGCCCTTGACGGCGTCCGTAATATAGGATGCCAGCGAGTACTTGACACCAACCATCCACAAGTCGGCCAGAATTTGTCGAGCACGATTGCAATACTTCGTCGCTGACTTATGCTCGCCCGTCCGAATGTTGGTCAGACGCTGCTCAAGCTAGCCGATGCACAGGTCGTCGGTCGCCGTGTATGTCCTCATGATGAAATGCCACGCTTGGTAGCCATCGTCCACACGCAGTCGACAAGGTTTCAGTGCGACCTCCATCATTGGCTAGCAGCACCGCGAGATGACCATGAATGTCAGCAAATGAGCAGTGCGAAATTCTGCTTGGAGCTTGATGTCGGCCTCGTCCGGCGTTTCCACGTCGCCCTCGACGAACGATTTCAGTCCCGCAATCTCCAGTTGTGGCTCAATTGACGCCGACCAAATGATGAGGTCTCGACCTTCGAGTGGGTGCGGCACCACGATCTTTTCCGACAAGTACTTTCAGTATCCATATGCCAGCATTATGCCTCCATCTTGACCAGCTGACACATGCGTCGATGAGCTCGTCCTGACTCCACTCTGCTGTGGAGAACGACATCGACCGTCGACATCTCCGTGCGAGCTGCATGCAGACGCTGTTGACCACTATCCTTGCCCTTGCATTCCACCGATACATGATGTCGATGGGTCAAATCACTCAACGATTCACCCTCGTGCCTCTGTCGCCGACTTCGTTGCAGTCGTCGACTTCGTTGCACACGGGTCGAGGAGAGGCGAACACATCATCTACTTCAACACCGGAAGGAGAATGCTCATGGGCCCACTGTACATGGGTTGCTAAGAGCAGCGACGCACTGCCGTATTCGCTAGCATCGTGGTGTCTTCAAACACCAGCCTCCCGTACTGCCAGGGTATCCTCTACACTTGCGACTTCTCCTAGGGTGACCTATATGGTATACATGGATGCCGGCCTAACAACGACCTAGGTAAGGCGCATCTACGTCGATCACTATCTGAAGGTATATCGCGGGGCTGTCCACACTCACCGCACCATACAGAGAGTCACTCTACACAGGGGTAGCTGAACTACGTGGGAAGGCATGGGTGGTAGGAATGATTTTAGCTTTGCGTGTGTACTCTCTGCTTGCACAATCACAGGGTATATTGGCAAGAGTTTCACTACCAAAATTTGGGTCCACAATCAGGCAATGGCAATAGCAAAGTGACTACATCTCGAACCTAGTAGCCTAGCAACTAGGCAGGTCGACCTCTAGCATAGCTCGGAAGCGGCTTGCTAGCATAGCAAGTCGACGTCGTGCCATCGGAGCTGGGAGGCGGTTTGCCAACACTTCAGGTCAACAACCTGCCAGCGCTGCACCACGGCAGCTTGCCAACGCTGCAGCAAGGCGACTTGCCAGCGTTGCAGTTGTAGATGACTATAGCGCACATATGAACCCGCTTTGCAGGTGCTGATGGGCGGTCGAGCACGTTGTGCCTCGTTCCGCGTATAGCGCAGGAGCCAAGTCAATCATGTGCTAACAGTTGCGCCAGATGCACCACGTCGATCACGTGATGCTGCACGTCGGTTGACTTCGCCCAACCTCCCTCCGCGGAACTCGTAGACCTGCCAATTTTTGCACTCGAGCAACTTCAGTCGACCAACTCGCCGTTGACCTGTCGAATGGACCTTGTGAACCAGTGCTCCTCGACGGACTCGTTAACCAACGCCTCTCAGCGGGCTCGTCGACCACTGTCACGAATCGGCGACTTCCGTCCACGTCCTCGATTGCATCCTGTCGAGAAGGGCCTGGTCGACTATTAAAGGCCCACTCGACGACCACTTCGTCGAGTTCTTCTCGTCGATAGGGAGATCGGCCGCGCCCAAGCGCGAGTGGGGCCTTTCTCTTCGACATCTCTGCTATATCTAGTGACCATCAGTAACCCAGACTCACTATGTGAATCGGTTGTAGCTCTTTGTTCTCCCTCTCCAATGCTGCCTGGCCACAGGCTTCACACTCCCCCACTTAATTTTTGACCTGCCTCAAGCCGGTTCACTATCAGCCCGTTTAAACCAGCTGGTCTGTCCTAAGTGGCCCAAAGTGTCCCAGCTTCATATGCACTTCCTTGATAATGCCTTCTAGTTTTGCCGGCGCTAGCACATGTTTTCATCCTTCCGCTGTACGGAGCTGCACTTGACCTCAAAACCAGCAGTAGTGCTTGCCTCGCGCCCCAGCTCTGGCTTAGACAGTCCCCTCTTCCACTGTTGCCCCCTTGATCCAGAATGGCACTTCCAAGTTCTCCCATATATCTGACGACCCTCCCTTGTTTTCACCCCACTCCCTCTCTTGGTCCGCTCGCTTCGCAATCACCATCCATATGCGGCATGGTCTTCCCCCAGCGATGCCTCATCTCAAAATCATACTCCTGCAGCTTCATCGTCCACCATGCGTTGCGGCCGCCAGGTCTGGAGTCTGCATCAGCAACAGCAATGGGTGATGGTCCATGATTAGCAAGAACTTCCTCCCGTTCAAGTACACCCTGGAATGAATCTTCCCATACCACCGCCAGCCCCTCCCCGTTGTATGATGAGCATTTCACCTCGGCCGAGTTGCAGCTCCGGCTTGCAAAGGTTTCTACTTTCTCCACTCCCCCGTTCATCTAAGCATGCACTGCTCCAATCCCTACACGCACGCGTGTGTATCTGTGTCAGTGTGTGCGTATATCTGTGTATGTGCCTGTGTATCTGAGCCTGTGTATGCTTTTTCCATGGGAAATTTCATGTCGTCGATCCTCAACCAATATGCGCCAGTGCCATCCTTTGGATGTGTATTCGCTAAAAGCTGTTTTTCTAATACTGTTGCATTCATCTTAGGTGTGCTTCTTATGCAGCAAGTATTGGAGGTTGTATGGATTCTCTTTTTATCGCGGAGGGAAGGGAGAGGAGGGGGGGTGGGGGGGGAAGTGGTTCGTGTTGAGATGTGTCGGTCAGGTCAGGTCGCATGCGCCTGACCCCGTTGACTTGCAGTCGCTTGATGCTATTTTCTCAGGCAGGAATCGGACCCCCCTCAAATTCGTTCGTGTTCATGGTTCACTTTCATATGCTGCCCCAGCGGGCCACGCTAATTGGCGGGAAAAGGGCATTGGCTCACGTCCAATCCGCCTGGTACCGTACGCACTCACCAGAGGCAAGGCACTTTTTTCTGAAGTCGAGAATCGATCGCTCGTCGTGTTTGCTGACCGACATCGCAGACCTTAGTGACAGCTGCACCCCCCGCCGTTTTCCCAACCCAAGGTCTGTTAGAAATGACGTAACGCGGGTTATTGTGACGGCTACCCTCGAAACAGTTCTGACATTTGGGGCGCCGCGCAAATGTCACCGTCACCAGCATGGGATTAAATCGGACGGTTCGGCTGTTCTCACAGGTACATTTGCTTGGCCGATCAAACTCGGCCTTGGAATCGCACTGCGCGGCGCGCCTTTGGGACGTGCGCCAAATCAGGCGGGAACCTCACGTCCCAATCAACCCCGACGATATTGGTGATTGGGGCAAGGGGTCGAACTGGGACGAAGCTCGAGAAGCCGTAAAAATTAAGTTATCAACCACTGAGTAAGGCTTTATGCGACTCGTACACAGCATTGCTGTATGTACTCAGGTTCAAAGCAGCTTCTCGCCTGTTGAAAGTCCGATTTTTTTACATTGTCGCCCGTTCCGTGCTCTCACGTTTCCGTCCGCCATACGTATTCTCTCGAGTCGGAACTAGTATTTATAAAGCTACTGCGTAGGCACCTAAAGCCATCAACTATTAGTGCATCTCCACGTTTAACAGCGCGGCAACCATTGCATCGGCGTCCCGAACAATTTAGGCTCCAAGAACGCGTTCTAGAAGGCTCCGGATCGATCGTTCGGTGTTACATTGCCAGATATATTTCGTTCACCTCCGCTCTTCTTCACCAACTCATCCCACAGGGTACGGCTCCGGACCACTTCTCCCCTCTTCTTACGACCTCTCTAGCTCTTCGTTTCTGTCTAGGCAAAATTTGACCTCTAACATTCCTTCCTGTCTCCTTGAAAGTTTGGTCCACGTCGGGACATGTTGACGCAAGGCGACTTCGAAACTCTGAGACGACCTCGGCAGAATTCTCCCACCGGCCGTTCTTACCGCGCTCTACCTCACTTCATCCCCTCCAATCTCCCCCATCCTTCTCGAGCCCTCTCCAACACGACAAAACTTGTCGCAGCAGGAGCAGAAGTGCAAAATACTCCCCCCCCTCCTTTCCCCACTCTTCCTTTTCCACCCACCCCTTTACCCACGCCAGGACCATTTCACAGCGGAAACAGCAGCATTGCGTCGCGTTGCGCCGTAGCATTTGCGTCGGTGACTCGGGTCCGAGCGTTACAATATCCAAGCGTTGCGCCGTATATCGCAGGTACTGCGAACTACGTCACTGGTCTACGTTAGAGTCAGCTTTGTTTAATACTTTATCATAGGCACAGCGAACCATGCGGTCAGGATTGACAACTACCTCCGCCTCATTACCTCTCGTCCACCCCTACCCTTTGCTTCCTCCTTAATCCCCATCCTCGTCGCGACCTCTTCGCAAGCTTGTTCGATCGTCGTCGCACCCTCGTCTCATCCTCCTCTGACCCTTTGCCCCTTCCTTCTCCCATCCTCCTCCCATCCCCGTCGCGACGACTGCGGCATGATCTGTGGCCAGCCGACAGAGTCCCATGATCTCGGCTAGCCGAGGCTGAGAGCCACAGAGGCTCGTCTAGCCGAAACTGACAGCCACAGAGGCTCGGCTAGCCGAGGCTGAGAGCCACAAAAACTCGGCTAGCCGAGGATGGGAGTCACAGCGGCTCGGCTGGTTCACTTACGCCTCTCACACACATGCCTTCACCCCCTCCCATCCCCAGCAGATCCTCACGCACGAAATCGCACGCAGCAACGGCACTCGGCATATTCACCACGAAGCTTCCGAACCGCCCGCTCGGTAGGATCATTATGAAGCTTCCTCGACCCGCTCTCCTCCTACTGCTCCTCCTCGTCTCCGTCGCACTACTACCGCTCTTCGCCTCCTCGCGCACTCTTCCGCCTAAGCAGCAGCCCACAGGTGGGGAGATTCCGCCAGCTAAGGGGGGAAACACCACCACCCCCCTCCGCCATCGGCGCCATGGGGCGAACGGGACGGCAGCGGCGGGGAACCGAACGAAGGGCGGGCATCCGAACAAGGGTCACCATCGCGGGAACGGCACTGCGGCGGGGGGACCTTCGCCAAAGCCGCCAACGAACGGAAACGTGAAGAATGGAAATGCGCCGAGTGGTCAGAAGAACGGTGGCGCGCAGCCGAACAAGAATGGCGGCGGAGGCGGTGGCGCGCAGACGAACAAGAACGGTGGCGCGCAGACGAACAAGAACGGTGGCGCGCAGACGAACAAGAACGGTGGCGCGCAGACGAACAAGAACGGTGGCGCGCAGACGAGCAAGAACGGTGGCGGCGGCGGCGGCGGCGCCAATAAGCCGCGTCGACCGAAGCAAATTGCTGAGGAGGACTGTAGCAGGTGGGGTTGCATATTTTTTTCTTTCTTTCTTTCTTTTTTCGGAATGCTTATGAATCTATTTTTTTGATCGAAAAAGCTGTTGCATCAAGGGTGATATCGTGTTATGGCCTAGTTCTCAGACCTACCTTCCCATTCCTGTAATTGTTAAACTTCAAGCTTCTTTCCGACCCTTCCCATTATCCCCTCTTCTCCTCTCCTGTCCCCTCCTCTCCCATGCACTTCCCCCTCACCCCTCCTCCTGCCACCTCTCCCTCTCTCCCGCCATCTCTCCCTCTCTCGCATCGCCCCCCTCCTTCTCCCCTCATTTCTTCCCTTCCAACGCATTCCCACTTTTTCCCCTTTCCATGAACTGCCTTCCCATCTCTTACCGCTCCCTACTCAAACCATATTTCCAACATCTTCCCGTTTTTTGCCCATAACAGCAAAACATCGTGGCCAGAAGTGGTTGGCATGACGGGCGAAAAGGCTCGCGATTACATCTTGACATCCATGCCAGAGTGTAACTGGGACGTGCGAATTATACCGAATAGGGGATTCGCCACAATGGATTATCGCACAAACCGTGTTCGTATCTTTGTCGATAAGGATGGCATCGTTCGCGTTCCTCCAAGAATCGGCTAACTGTGTTGTAACGGTCTCTACAATACTGCATGTTACGCGGACAGCAAACAGATTAGGCTTCAGATATCTCCCTGGCCTGGAGGTCAGAGGATATCACAGTGTAGGCAAGCTCCAATAGCACACTGCCACGTGTTCTGACTCAATGGTAGTTCGATTAGAATGCACCATTTGTATAGAGGCGCTTATGTATCTTTCTTGACCAGGGTCCAACATAGTGACCTTATCAGGGGTAAATTGTTGTGCTAGCCTAATGTTATAGACTTGCAATATATTATTACCCTGATACAAATAGTGTTCTGATCTGAATCTCCTGGTCATGAGTGGACAGGGTGTCCTGACAATCAACCTTGTGGGAATTAGAACCTCAACCCAGAACTCTTATGTGGTCAGAGTGAGGCCAGACTGACTCAGCACTTTCAGGTACCGTAGTCCGACTTTCACAAACTTTCTAGTAAGGAGAAAGAAGGACGCGTCACCTCCCTCGATCGATCGCAGGATCGCCAGGAAAAACCGATCGGGCACACCGATCGAAGGAGTGGGGCACGATTGGTGGGGAGGTGACAGCTGAACATCGATCGCAGGTTGGTTTCGAGCCCTGGGTGACGCGTTCGGTATTGCGACAGGGGACATGGTTGGGCGAAAATATGCAGCACCTGTTGGGCTGAAAAACCCTTAGGATCTTTGCAGGGGTGAACTCTGGGTAGAGTTGGTGTAGTAGCGGAAGCGTTAATTAAAGAGTTGTGAACCACCTTGCGCTAGTATGTGAGGGCAAAGTAAGTTGATTAAAACAAAGAGATACAAGCTTTTATAAGAGTACAAGGAATACGAAGAGATACAGTTAATAACCGTTTTACTATTGCTGTTGCGGTTCGATACAGTGACGACTCGGGCAACTGCTCAATACCGAGTCAGTTGTTTGTCCTTGCTGTCGCGCTGTACTTTGTCAGGTCAAAGGTCGCTGACCTTTGACTTTCGCGTAACCTCCAGCAGTTACTTTCAACCTCCGAGGGTTGACTCGCCGGTGATTCGTTATACTTCGTTTCTTTTGTGTCTTAGTGTTTCGACACGACAGAGGCGCTTAGGACCGATTGTTTCCAACACTCCCCTTCGCTTCTGGAGTGTCGCTGACGTGGCTCTGTCCAGTCAGCAACATGCAGTATTCGAACTTCTGCTTTCCGAGCTTCTTGGTTAGGTAGTCAGCTGCCATCTCAGACGTGGGACAGTATGACAGCTCGAGCCTTCCCTTCTCGATCTCGTCCTTCACGAAGAAATATCGCAGGGCGATGTGTTTCGTCCTGTTCGCGAAGCCATTCTTGTTGGCGATGCGAATTGCTGACTGGTTGTCGCAGAACAGGGTAAAGTTGGGTAACTCGGCTAACTTCGCTTCTTCCAGCAGCTCGCGAAGATAGAGTCCTTCCTTGGTGGCTGAGCAGAGTGCAATATATTCTGCTTCAGCTGACGAGAGAGCAATTAATTCCTGCTTGCTCGACTGCCAGGAGATAGGTCCGATAGGTTCGAGGCGGTAGATGTAGCCGGTGCGGGAGCGCCTATTGTCGGAGTCGCCAGCGTGATCAGCGTCGACGTAGCCGATTAACTTAGTCGGTGTGGTTGCGTTCTTGTAGTAAGTTAGGCCGATCGTTGGGGTGCTGACGAAGTAGTGAAGAGCGCGGTCGAGCTCCGCCAGATGTTCTGCTTCAGGCTTCTTGAGGTAGGTGGCGAGCTGGCTTGCGGAGTATGAGAGGTCGGGGCGACAGGTGACGGCTGCGAAGAGAAGACATCCCAGCTTCTTCTGGTAGTCTCGTATGCCGGCGGGCTTGAGTAGAGCGGAGCTTCCTTTGTCGTTCCCTGCCGTGTAGCGGTATGGCGTGGAGATGGCTGTCGGTGTGAGCGTAAAGCGTTTGGCGATGGTGTCGGCATATTTCTCGGCGCTGAGGTAGATCGCGTCCTCCTCTTCCCGGATGTTGAGGCCGAGGTACTGAGTGACGGTAGATGAAACTGTGAGCGTGAGATCTCGCTGCAGCTCCCCTTCGAACCAGGTAGTGATGCCGTCATTCGAGCCGATGTAAAGGAGATCGTCCACGTAGACGATTAGTAGGATGTAGTCGTCGTTTTTTGTGAGCCGGTACATGCCTTGATCGTGCGGTAGTTGCTTGAAGCCGATGCGGATGAGGCGAGCGTGCAGGTACTGTTGCCACAGTCGCGGAGCCTGCTTGATGCCGTAGAGTGACTTGAGTAGCTGGCAGACTTGGTTGGGTTCGCTGTGGGAGCCGTGCGGTAGCTCGACGAAAATTTCTGCATCAACAGGTGCGTAGAGAAATGCGTTCGCGACGTCAATTTGTCGCAGCTTCTTCTTCTTCATGGCGGCGATTGCGAGGAGAATGCGTAGTGAGGTGTGGCGGCTAACCGGAGCGAAAGTTTCGGTGAAGTCGCGTCCGTGTTCTTGGTCGAAGCCGCGTACAACCCAGCGAGCTTTAAATTTGTCAATGGTGCCGTCAGCCTTTGTCTTCACACGGAAGACCCACTTCCCGGTGAGCACTGTCTTGTTCCGTGCCACGCCGATAGGAACCACTTTCCACGTGTTGCGTTCCTCCAGTGCCTTCAGCTCCTTGTCCATGGCTTCGCGCCATTTTTCCTTATGCTCCCCCCCCAGAGCCTGTTGAACCGTCGCAGGCTCTTTAGGAATGGCGGTGCCATGGACTGCGGTGACGAGTCCGAGAATTTGCAGTCCGCTCTGTGAGTAGCGGGGAAGATTTGCGTCCTCGGGATAAGCTGCTTCATCTCCCGCTTCTGGATCAGGTATAAAGTTGGGTCCTACTCGTTCTGCTTCGTTGGTGTTGACTGTCGCAGGTGTTATGTAACCGTTGTCGGCGAAATAGTAGAAGGTTTCGGCGTTGACACTTTCGCGAGGGTTATCTTCGTCCATGGGAACGTCCACGGAGCAGAACGGAAGAGGTCCGGCTTCTTCTGATGCGTTGTCCACATTCTGCTCGTCCCAGTCAGCTTCGTCCGTTGCTGAGGCGAAGGCTCGGTCACCGCGAAAACCACCTGTGGGATCCTGGTCTTCTTGCAGGTTGGCAAGGTATGTCTGGAGCGTGAGTCGTTCGTAGAAAATTACATCACGTGCTGCTACTGTTTCCTTGGAATGGACGTCGAATATTTTCCACGCGTTGTAGTTCTTTTCGATTCCCAGGTGTAGTCCCCACTGTGCTCGTTGAGAAAATCGGCCCGCTCGTGCTGCTGGGGGTCGGTACTGTACCATGCATCCGAATACTCGTAACATTTTTGTGCTGCCCTGTTTCCCTGTCCATAGCAGATGCGGTGATGCGTTGTTTGGAAGCGATGATGACGAGAGCAAGTTGTGCAGCATGACGGCGTGGTCCATTGCCGCAGGCCACTGGTGGTTGGGTAGCCGCATGCCACGTAACAGTTTGCGCATGCTGTTCTGCAAGGTCCTGTTCATTCTTTCTGCTACACCTTGCTGCTGATGGGCGTAGGGAAGGGAGATGAGCCGCTTGATTCCCCTTTCCGCCAGGTACTGCTTGAATCGCTGAGAGGTGTATTCTCCTCCTCCGTCTGACTGGAAGCTTTTCAGTTTCACGCCCGATTCTCTCTCTGCTACTGGTAGCCAGGCAACGAAGGCTGCGAATGCCATGTCGCGGCTAGGGAGGTTTAGGTGCCAGACGTAACGGGTGGCGGCGTCGATGAAGGTGATTGTATAGTTGTATATTACTTGTCCTGGTTCCCGATTGTACAGGATGTCGCTATACACCTTCTCGAGTGGTGCGTACGCGGGTGCGCTCGGGTTGTGATGAGACGCAAACGGTCGATGTGGTAAGTCACCTTCAGGGCAGGTGAAGCACGTTCCGCGTACTCGTTGAAGTTCTCGTCCGTCGGTCAGTAGGAGTGAGTCCTTGTCGAGTACTCCTGCTCTTATCGTATTGTTTAATACTGTGTTGCTTGGGTGTCCCATCCTTGCGTGCCAGGTGCTTTCGTCGGCGCGATGTCCGGGTGATCGTCGGTACATCTCAGAGTTGGAGTAGAAGTTGGCGGTGAAGTTGGCGCTACGATGAACTTCTTGTGGTGCTGGGTGTAGTTGTTGCGCGGGTGTCGGTGGTGTGTCGTCGATGAGGAGCGGTGTCGTTGAAGGACCAGCAATTGGTGTTGGCGTTCCTGTTGCTGCCGTTGATGGTTCTGCTACTGCCGATGTTGTCTCTGCTGCTGCCGATGTTGTCTCTGCTGCTGCCGATGTTGTCTCTGCTGCTGCCGATGTTGTCTCTGCTGCTGCTGATGTTGTCTGAATTGTTGCTAACGCCCTTGTTCTTTCTGCTTCAGGGATGGTGTGTGAGTACCAGAAGCCTTCTGGACTGAAGTCTGGATCAAGGTCTGGAGGGTGTGTCCAGTTGGTGAAGTTAACGATGGCGTCGCTGTCGGCGGTGCCAAGATCAGGAACGAAATCAAGAACGAAGACGTTGTTCTTGAGGACCGCCTTGCCGATGTAAAGTCCTCCTCTCCCATGATACAGCTTGAATTCTTGGGTGGTGCTGTCTGCTTCGAGGTGAATCCCTTTCGCCATTAGCTGACTGACGCTCAGTAAGTTGTAGCCGAGTCCCTCCGCGATTAGTACTTTTGACATCTGCAGTATAACGTTTGTTTCCCTTGACTGAAGTTGAACTACGCCTTGTCGTCGTGTTCGCAGGTTCTGATTGTTGGCGACTGTAATGACAACTTCGCGTTGAAGTTGGTGTTCTCGTTGAACGAAGCGTCCCGAGGAGCACATGTGCTGTCCGCAGCAACTGTCCAAGAACCATGTGTCTGTTCCGGATGGTTCGCTTTGGGCGATGGCGGCGTATGTCGGGTTCGGCTGAAGTGACTCGTGGCGGGGTGTGGTTTCGTCGAGTTGTTCTTCCGGTGAGTAGTGTGGTGGTGACTCGGTGATGCAGGAGTCACTCAGCTTTGCCATGCAGCTGACGATGTTTCTTGCTCCTTGTGCAGGTTATCCC